AGCCGCGCGCCCGGCGGCGCAGGGCGCGGGCAGGGCGCGCAGCGCGGCCCCGGCGCCCTCCGGATTCCAGGCGCAGCAGAAGCGGCGAGCGGCGGAGCATAGGAATAAAAGCCGCTTCCTGCAACAATAGCCGGCCCCGCGGCCAATTGATACAGAGCAGAGGAGGCAAAAGGTATCGCGCCCGTGTGAACTCCCAGAGTGCAGCGTGGATAAAATTACACAGCATCTCCTCCTGCCTCACACACACACTCACACACACACTCACACACACACTCACACACACCCCCGCCCGCCGCCTCCCGCCCCGGCCCCGCGACACGCGGGGCGCGCAGCCCGCGGGGCAGCCGCCCACGGGCGCCCGGCGAAGCCGCGACCCAGCGGGCGCGGGGGGAGGCTTCGGGGCTTCTCCCCCCAGCCCTTGTTAGAGCAGCCCGCAATGCTCCCCCATTACAATCAAATACACTGTTTAAATGGTCTTTCCAGACTTTGTCATTTCCACATGAGCGTGGGCAAAGGAGGGCCCAGCCGCATCGCACAGGCTCCTGCGGCTGGACGTGCAAGAAGCTGGAGCTAATCCCTAAACTTCGGTGCCTGGTTAAGTCTCATTAGCTATAGCAGGTCTGCCCTGGCTACCATCTAGCTTTCCCCACCGCCCTCGCTTTCAAAATATGATGGAACTCCCTAAAAATAAATATAAAGACACGAGGGATTCAGCAGCTCCGTGAGTTCCGCTGTCCCTGTATGTTACTCGAAGGCAGCTCGTTAATTAGATTTGCATCTGAAGCAGGCGATGGGAGTTTGGGGGACGTGTGCAAGAGATAATTAGTATTAATGTGCTCTCAGGGCACACAAATACACCTTTGAAGTGAGGCATGCCAAAGCCCACGAGTTTGACCCTGATCAATATAAATTTGTTTCAGTATCGGTAAACAAGAAGAAGGCAAGAAGGCTATAAAATATTTTCAAGGGACAGTGGAGAAAGAGGATTTCCTTACAGGTTAAAGCGATCTTTAAAACAAACAAAAACAAAACAAATCAAAACAACAACAGAAAAGCTTTTACTGGTCGGGAGTTAAGGGAAATCATGCGACCTTTTCTTTTCCTGGAATAAAAAGGAGGCAGAAGGGCAAAACGATCTAGAAAGCTACTCGCTGTTTTAACGTGGGCTTAATATTTAGTAGTTCTCCAAGGCAAAAGGCTGTTCATTATATAGTCTTCTGGAATAAAAGGAAACACATGAACTCCCCACAAACACCCCTCTCCACCTCCAACGCCCCTTCCCCCCGCTTTTCTCCTCCACCAGTTGAGCCTCACAAGGAGAGTTTGATCTGGGGATGATAAATGTTTGTACAATTAATGCTTTAGTGTTGTTCTTCTGCAATGCCACTTACAGGCAGCAATGCAGTTTAGTAAAAACAAACGATTAAAAAAATGAAATAGCGAGAGCACAGTGTCCATTAAGAAAAATGTAAAACCATAAACATGCAGGACACTGATGCTGGCGGGCACGGGTGGGGGAGATGGTCGCTGGGGCGCCAAATCCTTCACTTCTTCCTAAAACAACAACCTCTCTGGAAAGGCTTTCCCTGGGGAGCCACAGTAAATTGTGTCCTGTGCACTCCTAACCTCTCCCGAGCTGCTGGACAGAGCAGGCAAACATGTACAACCATACATATATACAGAGAGAGACAGAGAGACGTATATGCGCGTGCATACATATACGTAGATATAGATGTGTGTATGCACGTATATGTGTGTGTATATCTGTATTATATGTATCTACGGACGCGGCCCAGGACGTCCCGGGAGGCGCGTGCGAGGGCGGGATCGCGCATCCCTGCGCTCCGTATCTACGGGCGCTTCCGAGCTCATCTCGGGCGCCGCGAGGCCGGGGTCTCCCCTCGACGACGCGTAAATGACAATTTACAGTCCGGAATTTGCAGGGCATTTTTCATTAGTGCTCTGAAGAAAAAAAAAAACAGCCCACAAGATTCCTCCCCTCCCCCCGTCCCCACCACAATAATAAACCAAAAAGACTAGTGGGTGGAAGAGTAACACGTTGATGACTTTTGCTCAAATTGCTTCCATCTTGATCACATTTTCATAATTAGCACCATCATGTCCACATCTTTCCGCCCTGGGCATCCAGCACAGACGGGCTTCCCAAGCGCCCCGTCCTCTGCTTGTTAGGGAGGGCAGCGCTTTCCGCGCTGTCATTAATGGGTCCCTTTCACATGAAATGAATACGACCTCCCCTGAAATATCAAAGGGCTGCAGCTACCTCGGCTCGCTTGGCACGACGCTGAATAGCAGGCAGCCGTAAGTCGCTTTGCCCCAGTCAGACATCCATACAATAAAACGTAAGCCCGCTCTTGTATATTTTAAGTTGTCTGGTGACCATTTTTGAAAACAAGAAAAGGGTCCTTTTGATGTGGCCTCGTTCTGGCAGAGGGCGGGACGTCAGATGTGGCCCGCCGAGCCCCTCTGGAAATATTCCTAATTGCGCCCCGCAGCGCCGAGCCCCCCGGGCGCGGGGCCGCCCGCCTGGC